TATTTTTTTTTTCAAATTTTGAATTATTTACGATAAAAACATATCATTAAATGAATTAACCTTTCATTCACTTTTTATATATAAGTTACATATAATAATCTAATAAACCTTTAAATCTTCATATCTATAAATATATAATCTATATATCTATAATCTATAATTCTCAATCCACATTGTGTCATATCATGTCTTTTAGTTCTTACTTAAAGATTATATATTTATAGATACGAAGATTTAAAGGTTTATTAGATTATTATATGTAACTTATAGATAAAAAGTAAATGAAAGATTCATTCATTTAATGATTTGTTTTTATTTTAAATAATTCAAAAATTAAAAAAAAATAGCAACTAATTATTCTAACTCTCTCAAAATGCCACATCTGGTTAACTTTCATATTTTACCTCTGGTTATGTTAAAATCTCATTTGTTTTATATCTCATCTTATTTTCCAGAAATTTTAGTTTAGACGGACCAGAAGCTCCTTGAAACCCCTCTTTTCCTACATGCAAGTTGCTATTTTTTTTTTCCAATTTTTGAATTATTTAAAATAAATTATTGTCATCGTGCAACACGCAATGTTAAACACTAGTTTAAATAAATACAATAATGAAATAAATGTTACCCTATATCCTACCCGTCGTAGCCAACCCTAACTATTCGAAATCAATATCATATCTACTTGCTACTCTAATATTTATTGTCCAATTCATATGTAATATTTGATTTTTACCATTTTATTACTGATTAAAAACAATAACTAAAATTTATATATATTTATACATCAGTTATATTTATTTTATGCACCAACAACAACTTTAAGCGTAAATTTCGTAACAATTAACAATAACGAGATATTTCTTTCATCATCAAATACTATCTTACAAATCCTATTTATATAAGAATAAAACATTTCTAAAACTATATAAATATTCAAAACAAAAAAAAATTAATCAAAAAAATGCGATATTTTATCTCTGACATATTTTATAAAATAGAGAAAATTAAGATACTAGAGATTTTAGTCTACATTAGAAGGGTAGTCGTGCAATACAGCGAGATACATCTCGATTTTAATATTTTATTTGTTTTAGTCGATATTATAATATGGTTTTATGTGGTTTTGAGAAAATGATACTGTTTTTATTTTTGAATAAAATATAAATATGAAAGTATTATAAAAAATAAAAAAATATTGATATTAGTATCAAACTAGCTATTGTGTATTTCTTTTATTATTTTTTTTTTTTTTTGGTTTAATAATATAATTTTTTATAAAGATAATAATTAAGTATTTTGTTAGAACTCAATGATTATCCTAATTATTAGTTTTTTATATTTAAAATGAAATGTTTATTCTCTATTTGATTATGTTTATCTGAAGTTAGTTACACGAATTCAAACATAAAACTTTAATAAGTTGTATTTACGCACAATTTACTTGTAATCTTAAATTTTAAGTAATATGCATCAATAAACAATATTTCATGCATAAAAAGTGGATTTTAAGAGTTTTTGTCAAATGCCTTATAATATCGTATAATTTTTCAAACTTAAAATTCTCAAAACGTAAGGAATTTTCAAAAAACAAGTGCTAAGTGATAAAAAAGATTTTTTTTTATTTATTGTTTCTTGATTGTATTATTAAATTATATAATATTCAGAGTAAACTACAGTTTGGTCCATGTGGTTTGTCAAAAATAACACTTTTCATCTATGTAATTTTAAAATTACAAAATGTAGAAACATCAGATTTGGTCGCTTCCTTTAACGTGCGTTGAAATATTTCACTAAATGAAGGATGATTTCGTCCTTTTATCGTGTTTTCACCATAGTAGCTGTTTACATTCCTACTTGGTTTCAAACGGATCTTCTTCTCTTACGTGGTTTTGGATCTGTATTTTGCCGCACGAGCTAGTATGGCCACTGCATACCTCTTGAGCCAGGGGAAAAGTATTCAACTCAATGACATGACTCACATATTACGGATAACAAATCCTCAAGTTTCATATACTTCAGAATTTCCCGATCAAGATCATTTCAAAAAAATCATATAATACCTCTTTCAATGATTGAAACCCCAGGTTACAGACTCGAGATGAGTCCAACAGCTACCAAAAATTTATAATGAAGTAGAAAGGACCAGAGAAGATGATTGGAGCTAGATGCTGACGGAGGAAGGTTGTGTAAGGGTAGCCGACAAAGGTCATGTTTGTGTGGTACTGTGGTTGTATAAACAATACATATATCATATAATTTAAAAGAAATTTGAATGGAAATGTAAAATGACCTAATGATCTCTGACTTGATGGAATAATGTTAACACGGTTAGAAGTAAGGCCTTAATATATAGCAAAGGTGAAACCACCATGACATGGTTGTAATTAATACATTTGAGTGACCTGATATATAATATTTATACTTGAAAGGTACTCGTGCAATGCTGCGAGATACATCTCGATTTTAATGTTTCATTTTATTTTGTTCCTTGTCGGTGTTATAATACGATTTTATGTGGTTTTGAGAAAACAAATATAATGTTTTTATTTTTGAATAAAATATAAGTTTGAAGATATCTTAAAATTAAAAAAATAATAATATCGATATTAGTATTAAATTAATTATTTAAAAGTTCTTGTTTTGTTGTGTAATTTCTTTATTTCAACTTTTTTTATTGTAATTTAATTTAAATTTAATAAGGAAGTAATTCATTTTTGATTTATTAATATAATTTTTACAAGATAATATATTAAGTATTCTGTTAGAAGACAATGATTATTCTAATTATATTTTAGATTTTTTATATTTAAAATAAAATGTTTATCCAATATTTGATTATGTTTATCTTCAGTTAGTTACACGAATTCAAGTATGGAGCTTTGATAAGTTGTATTTATGCGTTATTACTTGTAATCTTGAATTTTAAGTAATATGCACCAATAAACAACACTTTATACATAAAAAATGGTTTTTAAGAATTTTTGTCAAATGCTTTATAATATAACTAGAAGCGTACTCGCACAATGCAGCGAGATACATCGTGATTTTAATATTTCATTTTATTTTTTATCTCAGTCGATGTTATAATATGGCTTTATGTGATTTTGAGAAAGCAATGATGTTTTTATTTTTGAATAAAATATATGTTTGAAGATATCATAAAAATTTGCCAAAAATATATCGATATTAGT